CCAACAGAAGGGCCCCAGATTTCTCTATGCAAGAGCAGATAGAAAAAATGTTTTGTAATGAAAAATACCTTAATGGATCTTTCTGTAGAATGGCAGGTTCCGAAGCTTGAAGGATTTTGAATCAATTCAGTAGAGTAGGTCCCTCTGAGAATTTTATGTTAAAGGGATAGACTACCGTTGAATGGGAATCGTCATCATGCTTCCCAGGAGAAGGGAAGAGATTTTCTGTACTGTGTATTTAATTTCACTCTCATGACACTCTCCTTGAAGCCTAGGGATCGCTGCTTTTTCTCACAGTTGCTACTGCATGTTTATTTGAGTATTTGTCATATTACTGTTGTTTTTATTCATGTCTGTCTATCCCCCCCCCCCCGACTAAATCACAAACTTCAGGAACCCTGGGTTTACCTCATCTTCCTTACGATCAACAGTTAGCATGATGTTTGGCCAAAGTAGAACCAAAAATATTTATTAAATAAATGATGAATGAATGTCCAAGAGAGTGCAACTTTGTCTCTTCAAGGCTCACCCTAGCCCAGAATGTCACAAACTTTATCTATTTTCTATATTTGGCTTCTAATTTATAGAATATTCACCGAGTTTTTCTTTTTTTTAATTTTGAGAAAGTCTACATCACATAGTTGTGTACGGAGAGAGGTGGCTCACAAGGATGCCCCATTAATTTCTATCAGTCACCTGAAGTTCAAAAGTTAACTTTGTTCTCCACATTGTTGTTCTTAATCTATGCCATTCTTTAGTAGCAGATCACATTTGAACTTAACCTTGACGTTTAGAACAAAACCACAAATTCAACAAAATGTATTGACTCATTAGGGTTACAACAGTATTTTCATTTGAGAGCATGCACTTGCTAATGAATATAATATTCATTAGATGAATTATAAACAATTAATTGGAGAAAAAATAAAAATGGTCATAATTTTCCCATTTAATGAAGAAAATTGATGGAGGATAAAAGCATTATTAAAAATAAAGTTCCAAGAGGCACATGGGTAACCCAATTGCTTCTTGAAAGATGATGAATTATATATTATATTTTTAATTGACAAATATTTCAGAGGAAAAGGCATTTTTAATGAAAGAAACACTGGAGATCAGTAGTCATCACTCAAAGGTTCTTTGATATTTCCCTTTGATTTCACAGAACCCAAATTAAGAATAATTCTGAAATTTCAAAGCGATGTCACCTTATGGAAGAAATGAGAAGAAAAGGGTAAAGTTCTATTCTTGGGTCTCTTGCCAAATAGTAAGGCAGTCATGACATCAATCAAAGAAACTATAAATAAGTGTTTACTCCAAATTTAAGATAGTTAATGCTGAAACTTCATACTAAGTCATGCTATTGAGCTAAATTATAGCTAATCTTTATTTTCAACATTTTTTTTTAATTTGAAAAATCAATTACGTAAGAGAAAAAACCAAGTTATCTTCTCATTGTTCTAATCATACCAAAAAAATATTACAACTTCTCCAGGCGGCACCTGTGGCTCAAAGGAGTGGAGCCCTGGCCCCATATACCAGACGTGGCGGGTTCAAACCCCGCCCGGCCCAAAACTGCAAAACAAACAAACAAACAAACAAACATCATCTTCTCAAACACAACTCTCTATACAACATGTGCAATTCTTCTGTTTAAATATCTTCAATATCTATTTGGCCGTTTATTTTAGTTTTCCATTCAAGACCCTTCTTGATATTCCCTCGGCCACTTTTGCACAGTCTCACAATATATCCTAAGTGCCAACCTCACAAAATACTTAACCATTTACAGAAGCTGCATTCTTGGGCTTCAATATTCCTTCATGCTCTTTCCTTTCCTCTGAAAGTCCACCTGGAATGAAGTTCACTTACCTACCAAATGCATCCATTCCTTCCAGGGCTAGCTCAAGTGCCCTTTCATCTAACAAACATAACTTAGACCCACCTACTTAAGTGTTCTTCATCTTTCTCTCCTCCATGTTCACTGGGAGTAATTTTTGGATTAGAATCTCCCTTTACATATCTACCTTTCCTTTTGTACATTTAGAAATCTTAAAGAGACCCTATCTCTTGATTTCTAGGATTTTTCAACACCGACTCTTTCTAATAACATCTGTCATGATACCCACATATAGTACTCAATGATGTATATTGAACTTTAAAATAGTTTTAACAAGAAAATGTCTCTTATAAAATAATTTTCCCAAATTAAAACTTTCTCAGACTATCAGAAACTATTGTGTAATTTAGGAATTCAAATCTTTAGAGCAGTTTGGATTTCTTTAGAAAGTAATACATATTTGATGGCATGAGCTTATAACAAGGTGACATGGTTGATGAAGTCAAGGTTATCAGTGGAAAAAAAAGACTAGAACTTCCCAATATATATTCACTTTTGGGAGCTGCTGGAAGCTGAAGAGCAGAACATTAAGGTGGAATAATATTTTGCATTAAGAAAGATACTTTGTGGAAAATGGTACTGGGAAAAGAAAGTCACATTGGGAAAAATTTGATGAAATTGAGATTTATTTTTGCATTCTAACATCCTAACTAAATTTAATATATGAATCTTTTGAAGTTTTCCCTTAAGAAAAGGCTGACCATACTACAAAATACACAAGGTAACTGCATACTCAAATACCTTTAATTATTACTGTTGGGATTAGAAGAAAAATCTGTGGTGCTTGGAATTCTAAGCATTTTCAAAATGTATTGGAACAGGTTCAAAAAAGCTATTAGAGGATATTATTTTAGCTGGTCCCTGGGTACCCATGGAAATTTGTACCTTTGGCATACCGTACTGTTTCAGTAAAGGACTTTTTGGTATGCATATAGGAACTGTACCTTTTAACTCTCCCAGTGGATCATTTACAGTGGTTCAAATTGTCTGGATTTTTAAAAAGTGGTCTCCCTGAGATTCACTTAATAAGTAGATCATGTTGGCATACTCTAATCCGCTGAGGTACAGCATTAATTTGGGACAACTTGTATTTTAAATTAAAAACAACTGACCTGATTTTATAAGAATAAGAAACTCTCAAGCAAATGACATCACATTCAAAGGGATGGCTTTGGTGACAGTACATTTGTTTCACCAGATTCCTCTTCTAGTGAGAGAGTGGGGGGAAGCTACATTGCTGGGAATCCTACCCCTCCACCACATCTTCTGCTCATCTCTCCATCTTTTCTTAAGGTTTTCTCTCTAGCTCCCATTGTGGTTTTTTTTTTTTTTTTTT